GTTTATCCAATTAGGGTGTTAAATATGTATTTTATTTAGAATTCATCTAATAATCTTCAAAATATTATAATGCATGTGAAGTGACCTTTGAGAAAAGATTAATTTAAAATAGGACAGTTATATTCACTGTAGTCCGAGCCTGGAAATCTCTCTGCCTGGGGAACTAAAAAGAAGGGCACGAATCAGTTTTAGATGAATGAATACTCACCTGTGGTAAGGAATTGGGCCAAGTGCCATTGGTCCTGTCTGTCCTAGCACTTTGGATTTTAAGTAAAGTGACCTAGCAGTTTGACTTATTTGTGACCAGTCTTTAACGAATGGTTTAAGAATTTAAAATTGCATCTTAGGTTTAATTAGTATATGAACACATACCTCTTTTGTACCTTTAAGATTCAAGCCTTCATGCCAATCAGGTCCCAAGGCACTGCCCATATTACCAGCACCAGTTTTGGTTTGTTTTCTTCCTGAAGAGATAAACTCAACTCAAAATTCAAATGACCTAAAAACTGCCAGGCAGAGATGTGTACTTGTGTTCTCAAGCTTTTAGACAATGTTATGATTCTCATACGTACATATATACAGCATGACTGAACTAAGTTACCTGTATTACTTTATTATTTTAATATTTTGTGATATAGAGCTATAAAATGGATAATCCTTCAACCAAGTGTTGAGTATAAACACAGCGTGTTTTGGGGATGTTATATATATATATATCCCCAAATGTATGTTAATATGAAGGGTAAGATCTGATAAAAGGTTGATATCCAAAATACATAAAGAACTCCTACAGGGGCGCCTGGGTGGCTCAGTCTACACTTATAGAATGGCTAGAATCAAAAAAAGACAAGAAATAACAAGTCTTGGTGAAAATGTGGAGAAATAAGTTCCCTCATGCACTGTTGGTGGGAATGCAAATTGGTACAGCCACTGTAAAAAACAGTATGGAGTTTCCTCAAAAATCCAAAGAAAACAAAAACACTAATTTGAAAAGATATGTGTAGCCCTATGTTAACTACAGCATTATTTACAACAAGCAAAATATGGAAGCAATCCCAAGTGTCCATCAACTGACAAACGGATAAAGAAGATGTGGGGTATATATGCGATGGAGAATTACTCAGCCATAAAAAAGGATGAGAGCTTGCTATGTGCAACAACATGGATGAACCTAGAGGGTATAACGCTAAGTGAAATAAGTCAAAGACAAAGACAAATGCCATATGATTTCACTCATATGTGGAATTTAAGAAACAAAATAAACAATAAAGAGACAAACCAAAAACCGGACTCTTTAAATGGTTGCCAGAGGGGAGGTGGATGGGGGTATGGATGAAATATAGGGGATTAAGAGTATACTTATCATGAGGAACACTGAGAAATGTATAGAATTGTTGAATCATTTTATTGTACACCTGAAACTAATATAACACTGTATGTTAACTATACTTCAGTAAAATTGTTTTAAATAAACACATGCAAGTTAAACTAGGAAAAATATTTTTATTATTCAGTTGTATACCTAGTTCTTTTATGTGCAATTCTAGCCTCTGGTTTTTATTATTTTTATTATTATATTTTATAAAATATATTTTAAAACAACAAAATAAATAAAACAAACAGGCTCAGATATAGAGAACTGCTGGTTGCCACAGGGGAGGCACTGGTGTGCAGGCAAAATAGGTGAAGAGTAAAGTAGTAAGAAGTACAAACTTCCAGTTATAAATAAGTCCTGGGGCTGTAAAATACAGCACGGAAATATAGTCAATGGTACTGTAACAAGTTTGCACAGTGACAGGGTAACTAAACCTACTGAGTGGACCAAGTCATAATGTATAAAAATACTGAATCACTACTGTTGTACACCTGAAACTAATATACTGTAGTCTGTTACAATTCAATAAAAAAATTAGCCATTCTGTTTTTAAACATTTTGTCAAATTTTAGCACCCTCAAGACTTACAGAATTCTTTTCGAACTGTATAAGCCAAAAGTTAAAAAAAAAGCTCTTAAAAAACTAGGTTTGTTGTATTTTTTCTTTTTTTCTAAAGATTTGCTAGAGAGAGAGAGAGAGAGCGCGTGCGCATGCACACACACACACAAGCTGAGGGGAGGGGGAAAGGGAGAAGGAGAAGCAGGCTCCCCGCTGAGCAGGGAGCCCCGAAGCAAGGCTCTATCCCAGGACCCTGAGATCATGACCTGAGCCAAAGGCAGATGCTTATTGACTGAGCCACCCAGGCGCCCCTGTATTTCTTTTTTAATTCATTGCATTTTTTGTAAAATTATCTTAGCTCCTGTCCAGTTGTATCATCTGTTTGCAAAGACGCAGATGGGCTGGTTCATTTAATTCACTTTAAATTTCCAGTTTTAATTATACATATTTGTCATTTAAAAAATCCTGGAAAATCTAAGTCATAAGATATAGAAATAAATATTATCTATATTTCTATCTCTCAACTATATTTTGCTCAATGTTCTTATAGCCTTATTCTATATGGCTAAAAAGTTAAAACAGTTTCATCTGTGAATTAATGAAAAAGATGCTGTATTTACCTTCAGTTGTATACCTAGTTCTTTTATGTGCAATTCTAGCCTCTGGTTTTTCAGCAATGAGCTTTGAAGTCAAGAATTCTGCTGCTCCTGCATCGAAGAAAGTATTCCCAATAGCTTTATCTTTAATGGCCCAAATGATTTCACAACCTTCAATTTCATACCTAAAAGGAATATTAAAGTTACTCAGAGCAATTCTGAAAGTCTGAATAGAAATCTCTGTATTTGCAAATAACAATTATTTTACAACAAACTGAGCAAGAATGATGATAAGGAGCAATGTAATACTCCATCAGGATCAACAGTTAAAGTAGAATAAGTAATAAAAGAAATTTAACCAGTTTATTGAAAGAACATAAAAATGACAAACATATGTAACTGAGTATCAGGTAAAATTTCATTACAGTGAGCATCACCTCTTAAGTGTTCAATTTCCCCAACATAGTTATTGTATGAATGTTCCCCAGGGTTCCATAAATGAGCAGTGCTTTTTTGACGTGGGTATAGTGTAATCAATAATGGATGGTTGGATGGTACACAGTTATAATACTGAAAATACCTCACTTCTTTGGTAACAAGTATTTTGTGTACTCAAAGCACAACATTATGGAAGGAGATAGAAAAAGGAGAGAATCAGAGTTATCAACTAAAATTTTAATTCTGTTATAAAGGAACCACTACTCTGCAGTCCTCTCCCTTTGCCTCAGAAATTTCCAAGCCATTCAGCCAAAGAAAGATCCGGTTCACAGAAAAATCAAGGAAAAAGAAATGGTCGTGGTATACACAGGCCAACACCACTCATGAGGAGGCTGGAGCTCCTGCACAGTTTTATCTCTAGGTTTGGTCACCGAGAACGTGGTTTGCTTAGTATTCATTTCACCAAGTCCCTGAAGTCCATTAGATTTTTCTGCTATTAATACTTGTTTTGGTACAACTGATGAACTGGGACAATCCTAGACAAACAGGATATACGGTCATCCTAACTATACTAGGATTTTCTTTGAACCTGTAGTGATACTAAGAGTATCGTGTGCTAAGAACTGTTAATGCTGACTTATGGTCAAAGTATCACCATCTTTATGTCACAGATGCTATAACATAACACGTGGACTTTTCAAACTAATCAATAAGTAGATGATACAAAAAAGAAGGTTTAGTGTACATCTGACTTCAGGTCACCTGATGTTCATGCTTTCTGACAATATGGTCAAGGATCCCCCTGCCCCATCTAATGAGCCTTTATTTTTCCTGCTCCCCTATGGCAGAAACAAATATTTATAGTTACTAAATTTCACATTCTTTGGAGAATATTCTACTTTATCCTGCTCAGGTCATATAGGATTGCTGATGAGCAGAAAGTAGAATATACATTCAGTAATAAATTTCATATCTTAATTTACATATAGGCACATCATTATTATGAAATACTTTCTTTAGCTGTTATAAATTAGAAATTCCTCTACCATTTTTTAAAAATTTTTAAGTAATGTAACAGTATGATGCATATCAGTATAGCTTAAAATACTGACGCTTGACTAGTACGCCACAGTAATAAGTAACCATGAGAACTCCTGTACATGCCCTACCTCACAGGACACCCTGTACTCCCCTCAGCCTATGAACTATGCCCTCAGCAAGATGCATCACCACAGAGGTATCCTCACACGTAGCGGAACTACTTTCATTTTTAAAACCACTCTTAAAAAAACAAACAGTGAAATACGGTTTTGTGAAATTATTTTAAAAAAAAAAAGTCCTTTTAAAAAGGAAAGGATTAACCTACACTAAGTAAAGAAGAAAAATACACTGAAGAAAATGAGCATTTGCCTTGGGGGAACATGAGGGCTATTGAAGAGCAGAAAGGGTTTGTGTGTGTCATTTCTCATGAGATGACAAACACCTGATCATCAGTGGACCTAAGCTGAGATAACAGCATTATATGTGGCCTTTCTTTAGGAGTTTTATTGAATTATATAGTGTATCTCCAACCTAAAGAAAATGAGGAATAGGATTAAATGTTCTAAGACTATGAGGATTTCTGAATGTAGGAAAATTTTCCAATGTAAAGAATAATAGTATTAAGTTATACTTTCGGTGATTGCTACTGGAGAAAATTTGTCATGTGCGTCCTCCTTTCTCTTGCCCGTTTGGTTTTGACTTGTCCAGTTTTTGTTTGTTTTTCTCTGCAGTTCTCCATAGTGCCACAAACTTCATAATTATAAGAATGACTGCCGGCCCCTAGTACTCAGGCAATTTAGGAACTCTTATAAGCTTCCACTGGGATCTACCACCCTGTCCGAAAAAGGAGCAAAAACCTAGTCCAAGAGTTGGAATGGACAGGGCTTTGGCAAATTCATCATTTTGATACAAATTTGTCCTCTTTGTAGTTGGGCTCAACTTTCTGGCCTGAAAATGTCCAGACTATTCCATGTCAGCCATCCGTTGGAAGATAAAATCACAAAGACAATCTATGCTCTGTAGACCATAGCAGGAAATTGATTCCTCAATGTTCTCTGAACTTGAAATATCATCTTAAGATAGTATTTTATATTAATTTATGTGTTCACCGTTTTCCAACTTCCAAAAAACCAAGAGCTGAGAGTACCACAGATCTTGAAATAGGGAGTCATGGGACAGACAGGTACCTATATAAATGAGTGAAGCAGGATGGGTATAAACAATAAAAAGTGGTGGGGGCTGTGACTAGAAATCTCTAAAACTGTGTACATTTAAATTGTTTTTCAAGATAGTCCATGCTTCCCACACACCTCTATGGGTCACATCTCTCCAGTCTCCTGTGTGTGACCTCTTGAGACAGAAAATGTTCCCTAAACTCATGTTTGGCAATGACATTTCTACAACTATGAATTCCATGAAAGCCAAAAATATAAAGTGGACATTTTCCTTGAAAATATATGAAAACCAATTACATTTATCTTTGAATTTCAGAATACCAAG